GCTTTTTTTTTTTTATTATGAATTTTCGTTTATGCTTTCGTGTGCATACATATTTCTATTAGGTGGTTCGGCGTTCGATAACCCTAGGGTCACCAAAGTAAGTACCCAGCAGCTCGTTTACCGTAGGGTCAGTATAGTAAGTACCCATATGGAAACCGACGAAGTAAGAAACTACGCAAGGCAGGGTGGTTCGCAGCTCGTTTACCGTAGGGTCAGTATAGTAAGTACCCATATAGTAACCGACGAATTAAGCAACTACGCAAGGCCAATCGCCACCTCTAGTACTGCAGGGTTAGGACGATTCTTCTAAAATCTTTTAACCATATCGGTAAAAAAAAACCCACAAGAAGAATCAAATTGATATTTCTTTACTGGACCGTTTGTTATTTGTACTTGAATTAGCCAGATATAAATATAACCATTAAAAAAAAACCTAGACAACAAAAAACTTAAAACTTATTTTACTCTACCAAGGAACTAGTTTAAAGGTTATGTAGGGGAGCACGGGGCATTGTCGACAGTGGGGTAAAGTCGACACACGCTCTTAAAAAAAAAAACTATAAATCATATCGACGTAATTTTTTTTACCGAATGTAGATCCTAAGAACACCACATTACCAACGAAGTTTGGTGGCATTCTTGGTTATGGTGAATTTGTTATTTCGCCACATGTGTTTTGGGCACACATCCTTACCTTCTTTTTGTAGTTGTAGAGCCAAGCACTTCGTTATCAAATAAATGAAGTTATATGAGATTCTGATATTTTAATAGACTCTAAAATTCTATTCAAAAAATCATTACAATAAGCACTTTACCTCTTTTTTATTTAAGATGGCGTTCAGTTACCTGTTAACATACGACAGTATGTAAACAATGCTACACTTACTATAGAAAACGTTCAGCGATCATCTGACCAGGGCATATACACATGTAAAGCAAGTAATAAGCAAAACTACACTACGCAAGAGTCATTTGAGATAAAAGTGCTCGGTAAGTATAGCTTTTCACGTTTGTAGCAAATAGTAATATCAAGTTCGCAAACGTCATTGATTTCCAGTATATCAAATGTAACATATTTTAAATCATATTTCATCCTTATTTTCGTCCCGACTAATTTTACATTATTATCTTAAGGTATTACATCTAACATCGAGCCACAATCAGCCAACTTTTAAGCAGCAACAATGCCAGACGGCCAGAGCAGTAGTTTTACATCTAATCAATGTAATTATTACTGATGCTTAGGTCGGCAGAGCACTGGCTGTTACCAAACCGACCAGGTAGATAATAAGTGGGAGTCAAAAACTACAGTCCATGCGAACCTGTAATACTCCATCCCTTTTAATTTTTCATTTTCATTTAACACACATATTTTTGCAAAGGCCGAATCTTATATTATTTAAGGCAGTATTATTTTTCCCCCAATGCAACCAAGATGCAATATAATCAATTAAATTAATGAAGAAAATAAAAATTTCAAACATGCACAGAGAAGGATTACCTTAACAATTTATAAACTATACTTAAATTAAATTTTAAGTGTTTAATATACTGAATTGCAGTGCCCGTGCTTTTCAGTCTAACACATGTATCTCTTAGAGGGGAGAAACAAACAGAGTTAAAGCTTTAGCATTATTAAAAGCATTATAAAATGAATTGTAACATTTTGTCCGAGGAAACCAAGTTTATATTTGACGACCATTAATTTTATGATCAGTTAGATCAATTAAAAATCAATCTGGCGTTGCTTCCTCCTATCAGTGCTCTCTTTTTTGTTTCTGCACTTTCTTATCCTTTTGGCTCTGAAAATAGAAGGCTTTCTCTTAGAAAGTTTGAAACAAAATATAAGCAGCTAGGACCTTGAATAAGTGGAATTTAGTAGCGGAAGTTATTTTCCACAAAACGGTCCATGGCTAAGACAAGGCCCAGGCATTTGGCGACTATCACAGGACTAGCTTACGTTCTTCAGGAAACAGTTCAGTCCTCTTAATAGTTAGCTAGTGTTTGAAGTGGCATATTCTGAAGACCGACGAATTTGGTAAATCGACGATTTACTTGCTAAGGAAAACATTCATCGTGCCAAAGCATCCCAAACTTAATTTTGTTCATATTCGGAGGTGAGTTTTACTACACAGGAAACGGTCAAAGCGCGTGCATTTCGGTCGACGTCAAGTGGTTTAGGAAGTACATACGTAAAATCTCCGACACCGTGCACTCCGTTAACGTTAATTTTTATAATACACCTCTCTGCTGGGCCCGCCCAATCCATGTAAGTCCTTGGTGACTCCTTTGCTCCGGGTCCAAGGTCCGAGTCTTACCTTTACCGTTAGTTTATTTTAGTCATGAAACCACAGAGTTCAAGGTGCGATGCCATCCCTTTACTTCCTTGCTTACTTTTTTTTTCTCTGCGCTATTGTGTAAAGTAGTTTCCTGGCTGGGATATGACTCAGTCTGTCCAGGATCGCTTACAGACAATTTATTTCTGCGGGACTATCGGAAATTTTGATAGAGGGTGAGCCGACGGAGATGGAGGAGTCCGGTCACGGTAGTGTGGGTGGCAAAGGCGGGAAAATATGGAAAACAACTGAGGCTGGTCGCCGGTAGCAGTTGCCAGGATAACGGGTAGCGATGCGCTCTCGGGCCCAGAGGCTGGGCGCCTGGCTGTGATCGCCGGAAGCGGCACACACGCGGGAGCAGCGGCAGGACGCCGGGCTGCGGTCGCCGGGGTGCACGCGGGGACGGCGTGGCACGCAAGCGGGAGCAGAGGCTGTGCGCCTGGCTGCGGTCACCGGGTTTCCACGTGGGCAGGGAAAGGGCGTGGCACGCCAGCGGGAGCAGAGGCTGTGCGCCTGGCTGCGATCACCGGGTTCCACGTGAGGCAGGGAAAGGGGCGTGGCACGCAAGCGGGACTTCGGCAAGCCGAGTGGACTACTACCTTGTATAATTGTATCATTGTCCAGGTAACTCTAATGAATTTAAAAATTCTGTAGCCAATCTTGTTCTATTGCAAAGTCGAGGTTGGTTAAGTTTCTTCACAGCCAATCTTGTTCTATTGCAAAGTCGAGGTTAATTAATATTACGCAGCATGATGACAACTGATTCTATTTTTAATTGTAAATTATTTGGTGGTATTCCAGGTAACTCCAATGAATTTAAAAATTCTGTAGGATAGTTCACTACGTCATCCTGGTTTATTGATGTGTCAACTGATTTGTATGTAACCAACTCTCCTGGAAGTATATTCTAAATGGTAGCATTGAGATCAACGATATATTTATTTTTGCCGCCAATATTGCTCTTTCACTTAGCCAATCGTGATTATTATATTGTTGTTTAATGTCTGTTTCTACGCAAACTAGTCTCTCAGTTTTAAGGGGTAATATCCAGTTGCAATTTTGAAAAAATCGAAATTTTTTTTGCCAATTCTGAATGTATATATATCTAAGAATATTGTCTGAAAATTTCACAGTATTCCGGTAAATAGTTTTGGAGTAATCAGTGTATTTTTAAAGACGTCTCCCACGTAGTTCAACTAGTAGCCAAGACTTTGAATGCGTTTTTCTCGAAACGATGTCTTCAAAGTCGGTGAGGAAAATTTCTCCGAGACGGCTTGACCGATTGACTTGAAATTTTCACAGGCTCTTCTTAGATATTTTTTCAGGTAATGACGCGGGGAATTTTGGCTCCGCCGAAAATTTTGATTTTTTTAGTCACTTCAAAGTTGAAATTTTTGTGCCAAAAACCAAGTTTTTTGTTTGGGAAGACGCCATTTTGTCTAAAATCAAAATTTTGAAAATTCCCCGCGTCATTACCAGTATTTGTCTATTCTTTATGTAATCCTTTTGGTTTTTTGTATTTCTGATAATTTGGATCGGAGATATCTTCCTCACCGCAAAACACTTTTTTTAAGTGGACCCTCAGAAGATCCTCTACAGGATCGACGGAATCCAATGTATTTTTTTTTTTGAAAATGTATTCTGAAACTACTAGAAATTATCTAACTTTTCATATACAACACTTATATATACAACTAGCTGACCCGGCAAACGTTGTTTTGCCACCAGATGACTTTATAATTTCTCTACAAAATTTACTCAGTTCTAGACTTATGTATTATAAAGTCATCTGGAGCGCTATAAACCATGAGGGAATATAAAAATAACAAAAAGCAAACATTATTTTTAATAAGTTATTATAATTTATAACACTATTAAATAATATCAGTCTCTTAATGCTATAGCGTGAACAATATTTTTTGTGAGTCCATCTTTTGCTAATACAAACAAACTGGATGGTTTACCCACTCGAGAGCATGCCACGTATAATTGTCCGTGTGAAAAACATGGTGTTCTTAAATCTAAGCCACAAATAGACATCGTTTGACCTTGGGATTTGTTGATAGTCATTACAAATGCCAATCTAATCAGAAACTGAATTCGTTTGAATTGAATTGGCGCATCAAGTATAATAGGAATCCTTGGTATTAGTATATTTTCACCTCTGAACTTTCCGTTAAAAATGCTGGCTTCGATCATGTAGTGTACGGGGGTGCTGGTGAGCAAAATCTATCTCTATCTTTCGATAGTCGGTCGTCTATTAGTGGATGGAAAATACTATTAGAGAGGACCTTATACCTTCAAGCTTGGAATCCGTATCTTTGTTTTTCTTCTTATTTGGCGGCTTCTCCATATGCGGTAGAGTCTCCCGAAGGCAGACCTGGCTTTGGCTAGCCTGCTCGTCACATCTTCTGTCACGCCACCGTTGCTGGAAATTACGGTGCCAAGGTATGGGAAACTCTCGACGTATTCTATTGGGTTTCCATCTATGATGATATTTCCTTGGCTGGCGTGATTGAGGCGCATCACTTTTGTCTTCGCCGTGTTAATTTGTAGACCCACACGGCTGGTTAGGTTCACGAGGTCATCAACTTTGGATTGAGTATCGCTTAGTTTGTGAGAGATTAGGCAAATGTCGTCTGCGTAGTCCAAGTCTTCTAGGTGTCAGGTGAAGCTCCATGTTATTCCACGCTTGTGTTTGCACACTTCTCTCATGACCTCGTCCACCACAATGTTGAAGAGCAGTGGGGATAGTGGGCATCCTTGCTTGACCCCGGTGTTTGTTTGGAAAGGTGCACTTGTCTTCCCGTTGTGCAGTACCGCCAGGTTGGCGTCATCCTATAGCGCCTTTATTAGGGCGATGACTTTGTGCGGTACTCCTTTCCTCCGCATTTCCAGAAGTCGGGAATGTGTTCGCTCTCCCATGCACTCGAGAAGTGCGGATGCAATGTTTCTGCCATCAGTTGAGTGTCAACTTGGAGGATTTCGGCTGGAATGCCGTCCATCCCGGCAGCTTTGTTGTTCTTTTGCTTCTTTATTGCATTTCCGATTTCTCTCACGGAGGGTGGGACGGATGATATTCTCCGGTTCCCATTTGCTGGCGCAACGTTTCTGTAGTCATCGCTCCTGCTAGGCATGTCGGAGTTGCTGATTTCCATGAAGTGTTGGCGCCACCTGTGGATTTGGTCGTCGTCGCTAGTGAGAAGTATTCCAATGGCATCTTTGACTGGCTGGTTCTTCCTTCTATAGCCTCCTGAGATTTGATCAATTGTCTGGTATAGTGATCGCATGTTGTTTTCGTTTGCTGCGCGTTTTGCATTATCTGCCAGTCTATCCAGTAGGGCTCTCTTATCATTTCTGTCTGCTCTCTTGACAGCTTTGCATAGTGCGCGGTGTTCGTCGCGTCTATTGCTGTCACGGTCAGCCAGTAATTCTAGTGAGTTCCTTTTGTTGATCGTGTCCCACGTTGCGCTAGAGATCCAGTTGTTTCTTCTTCGTTGTTGGGTGCCAATGATGCCTTCTGCGGCGGTCCTTAGTGTATCGCACGTCTGTTCCCATGTCTGGCCTTGCTGCGGTAGTAGGTGGGTGCGTAATGTTGATGCAAGTCTGGCACTGATGTCCGTTTCGCCAAGTAGGTGTATGTTGAGGGGGGCCGGGCGGTGGTTCCTTGAGTCGTCAGCATTTCGCGGGCGATTGCGGTCCAGCTTGATTGAGAGCTCCCCAATGATCAGCTCGTGGTCGCTGTCTATCGATGCTCCCCTCTTGTTCCTTACATCCAGTAGAGACTTCCTCCATTTTCTGCTTATACAAATGTGGTCAATTTGGTTACGTGTGTTTCCACTCGGAGATGTCCACGTGTATTTGTGGATATCTCTGTGTGGGAACATACTACCCCCAATGATTAACTGAAACATTTGGCATACTTCTATTAGTCTATCTCCATTGTTATTACGCGTGCCTATACCGTGGCCCCCAGTGGCTGACCTCATTCTGGTAAAGTTGGGTCCTATTTTTGCATTGAAGTCGCCCATGATAACAGTGATGTTGCCTCGAGGTATGCCAGTGAGAGTGGAAGTTAGCGCGGTATAGAAGTCGTCTTTGATGTCGTCGTTTGCGTCTTCGGTTGGGGCGTAACACTGCACGATTGTTATTGGTCTGGCCCTACATCTAAACGTCGCTTTAATGAGTCTGTCTGAAATGGGTGTCCAGGAGTGTAGCGTTTCTTTCATTCTTCTGGCTACGAATATCCCTACTCCATATCTGCTTCCCTCATTATTACCGCTGTGCAAGATTAGGTTACCATTTGCTGATGTTGTTACCCCACTACCGCTCCATCTCATCTCACTGATCCCCGCTATTGTGACCTGGAGTTTGTCCATTTCTCCTTCAAATTGTGCTAATCTAGACGGCTCTCTTAGAGTTCTAACGTTCCATTGTCCTATTCTTGTCCTTTTAGATACGCCTATAGTCGTCATCGAAGGGGGTCCGTTTGTGTTTGGTAATCTTGTGTTGGATTCTGTAATCGGATTGATTTCAGTCGAGCTTGTGATTAGCCAGAAGCGACCTATCCTAGTGGTGGGGCTGTCACCTATCGCCTTCTAGGAGAGGCGTAGGGGGCTACACACTTTTGAGCTGCCGATTTGGCGCATATTTGCATCGCAGCGCCGTCTGGCGGCGGGATGCGAAAAGTAGACCCGTGGGGCCTGGGCGGCATTTATAGGTTTTAAAATAGATATTCGTTTTAATTAGTACTCACGACCTTTTTATTTCTGCTCCATGATACGTATTGTAAAGTTGGGCCCAAGTTCACATGTCCGTTGATGAGCTGTTGGTCAAAATATTTAAGAAAATCTACTTTAAATGACCTATACAAATACCGCACTCATGCCAATCAGCAAGTTGTCAAAGACAAATTAAAGGGATACAAGATAGAGACTCCTAATGGCCGAACATAGATCGCTAGACGTTGTGAGATGGGCCGTCCTCGTTTAGATCTAGAAGGTCCTCGACCCACGGCCAACGATTGTCCTTGCAGCTCCTTACTGCGTCAAGATCCGGGTTGTTGCTGTTGCTTAGTAGTTGTTGTTTTCTGTACCTTCGTAGTGAAGCGATCCTGAGTGTCGATGGGTGTCGCTGGGTATGTACTCCGCGTTGAATAACAATGACCTCGGCTTTGAACTGCCAGCGCCCAAACGCCGACATACGTGGCGGTTGCGTAATCTCGCCACCGGAGGTTATGTTTTCCTCTGGGCCACTTTATCAAGAATCTGAGCAATGGGGCTGGCGTAAGACGTTCAGACTGTAGCCGGCCTAATGTAGGAAAAGACTCCCTCTGCGGGGTCTACGGGTATACGGCTGACGTCACGCCTTCTTATGCGGATCCCTAAGAAAAATCGGTTAAATTGGAGACCCACTACTTTGGTATTTGTTTACCTTGCACTCACTCTCACAAATTCACTAGTTATTATCAATAACCGCCTGGTTATTTTAATTCACCCAGATCAAGATTATATAATATAAGGGTAACACGCGGTTTATTAATTAGGCCTAAGCCAAAAATTGAACGATTGAACTTTCCACCAAGAGCGGAGATCAGGTATTGAATGCAAGGTTGAAAACGAAGTGTAGATAAGCCGCTCTTGTAGAGCTTTCCACTGCAGTTTTAATCAACGGTTTAATCGTACGATTTTTGCCATCGCGACTGGCGCTTATCTCGCTTATTTGCATTGATATTGGTAGAGAGTAAACTAGGCCTTCGGACCTGTGAAGTTACACTTATCTATGCGAGGGTGGGGAGAATAGTTCTTTATCGTAAAAGCTCAACTGGTCACTACAATCACGTTGTTCATTAATTTTTTTATGATTAATCGCGTACCGTTGCACAGTTCAAATTTCAAAGTAGGATAATTGGAGATCCAACCTTTAGTTTTAAATTATGCGTTGGCATGCCTTGCGAATCCAGTGAGTTCAAAAACTCTGTTGGAAAATTTGTTGCTTCGCTGTCATCGCAAACTGTATCAATATATTTATATGATACCAAGTTCCCTGGCAACATCATTTGTTACTTTTGATTTAAACTGTCAACGTCTACATTTTTTGCCGCTAAAATTGCTTTTTCTGCAAGCCACTCATGATTTATGTGCTGTGAGTGTAAATCGGGAAATATTTGTTCAATTAGAGTATCTTGCGAATCAGCGATTGTGCAAAAATCGGTCGGTAATTTTACGTATCCAGTTTCATCTATACCATATTTTCCATCACCGATATCTAAGAGTTGTTTTGAAATTGTTTCAGCGGATGGATCGCGAAGCATTTGAACGCGCATATTTACTTTTAGCTGTAATTTTTCAGCATTACGCCACAATGGAGATGATTTTAGGCAAGCGTTGATCTCATCAGCATATGTTGAACGTGGAATGACTGGAAGTGTTTGTCTGAAATCACCTGAAAGGACCAAGAGAGTTCCGCTAAATAGTTTGTCGTTGTTTTTAATATCTTTCAATGTCCTGTTCAACGCCTCAAGCAAAACAACGTTTATGACGCTCTCCAATATCCGCTAATATTCGTCATATGACGATGCGTCTGGCATAAAAGGAATCCAGGTTATTATAATCACAACGTGCATTCACGCGATTGGTAAGCTTCCGGAATCCTCTCCGCCCATAAAGTAGATTTGTAAGAATTTATGTTGTTCATTTGGCATTGGCAGCAGTGAGCCCATTTTATGATAAACTTGGCCTCTAATTTTGAATGTAGAATTGTAATTTTGACCATTTGCATTAGTATTTCCAACTATTTCTGTGGCTCCGAACGATGTCATTTGAAAGCATGAATTAAATGTTCGAATTGACTTCAGGAACACTTTAGAATCTGGATCCGTGCCGATAAGGGTAGATCAGGTAGTATTTCAATTTCTGGTAGTTGCACTTTTTCTGATGCGCAAAACATCCCAGCTGGCTCATTTTTAAATTTCAGAGCATGACAATGCGGACTTTTTAAGTGAGCATAATACTCAATATCGGGTTCATACTGGAATGCTAGACGCAGTAATGAATTATATATAAATGCTCGATGTATGTAACGAATAACGAAGAGCGGTTGGTAGTCCTGACCGAGCTCGCACGCAAAATATATCCGGCTCTGGCTCGTCGGCTAACGGTGTGGTGTTCTTAAGCAGCTGCGATCGAGGGATGCTCATAAGTAATCTTAGTTATATTTAATTTGCGTGTTAAAAACCGAAAATGCCATCTAGGCCGGAGATGGAATAAGCATAACAAAAGTTAGAAAATAGAAAAGTAGATATAAAATCCGCGAACAACATGTACACCCTTAGATGTAAACAAGGTGTATTTTGCCCACCCAACCATGGCCAATAAGATTCCTATTACAATTCGACATTGACCCCTTCGTACACAAGCCCCTACGACGACCTTCCGACCAGCATGGAGTACATGTTATAATTTTACTCAAACATTATTATAATTTTTATTGACACTAGCAATCTAAATGGTAAACTCTTGACTTCATATAATCCACGAAACCTTATTGACAATAGAGAAATTCTTATCACCATAATATTGATATACAAGCTTAAACATAATTAATGTACACGAGTTATAAGTAGTTTTGCTATGACTTCAGTAATTCAAAATTCTTTAGACAGTAAATGAAATAAATAAAATAATTAATGTGAGAATCGAATTATCATTTTATTATCTTCTCATTTTTTTTAAAGACTATAAGGTGGGTCTGGTTTGCGATTAACTTCAAAACGATCGATTTATCGAATGGCGTATTCATTTATTCAAATTAGAGCGCGAGGAATTTAAAAGAAAGTAAAACAATTGCGTTGCCAAACGCGAAAACCAAAAATAAGAATCATGCCGATATATCTATACTAATATTATAAAGAGGTAAAATTTGTTTGTTTGTTTGTTTGTTTGTTTGTTTGTTTGTTTGTTTGCAGGGAATAGGCTCCTGAACTACTGGTCCGATTTAAAAAAATTCTTTCACCGATAGAAAGCTATATTATCGTGGAGTTAAATAGGCTATAATTTATTTTGAAAAAAATTAGGGATCCGTAACAAAATTGCAATATTGTCGCATATAAAGTGAGTTGCTACCTCATCACACTGACAAACACGCTCCCTTAGCATTTTAACTCAATTTTTGTGTTCACTGTGAAATTGTTAAAAAAAAAAAAAAGAATTTTTATTCAATTTAAGTTGAACTGTGATAATTATGTGGATCGTGCATTTGAGGATAAATTCACCACTCTGTCCATAGTCCGAAATGCTTAGAGGACGACGTGCAAACATTGGCAGCAGACATCCAAGCCAGCAACAAGTATATTCACAAAACTTAAGCGAAGAAAGACAAATGAGCGCATGGAGATCATTGGCATCATTCAATCGCTTGGCATTCCAATATGACCCCACTGCGAACTACAGTGATAATGAAAACTTAGATATTGGACTATATACCGATATTGCAGTGCGTTAAAGTTTAAAAGAGAAACGGCTGCATTGTGCTGCGCAAGTGGAGAAGTCAAACTGGAAAAGTGTTAAATAACCATCTTTCTATACTTCCCCATATATTTGAAAAATTTTGCAACATTGACTTTTATGTTGTTAAACTGTGTTGGCCAGCGAAGCGGACACAGGCCCTCTAGTAAAATATAATCCTTTGGACTCGCTCACCTGCTATTTAATCCAACGATGAAAGCGCTTCCATGTATTGGTGTGTTAGCTGAAAATTACATACGAAGCAAAAATCCAAAGAAGATCGGCGAAATACTAACACGCTAATTTGGCAAAGCTATGCTTTCTTCTTAAGCAAACCTCAATCACTTATTCGTCAAATCTGTATCGTTTTAAATTCCTTTCCTTCCAAGATGCCAGCCAATATTTTTCTCTTTATTTAAATTATTTAGTTTCAAAAGTTATAACGTAACACTTCATATTTAATCTCGTGATTTTTCTATCTCTTATTTACAAGATAATTAAACTGAACGGGAGCTAAAACTTTAGATTTTTTTAAAATCATTTTTTAAATCGGGGGAAATACGAAATAAAATGTTTTAGGTAACGGATCTCAAACAGAACTTTTGGTAGCACGCGACTTTAGCATTAAATCGGTGGAAATACAAAACAGAATGTTGTAGGTAACGGATCTCATACAGAACTTTTGGTAGCACGTGACTTTAGCATTAATACTTGTAGAAATTTAACTTTTGATTTTACTCCATGATTTCAGCGATAACTAGACTGCAGTAATTTACTTGGCTTTGGTTTACAAAAATTATTTTTTTAGCGATCACTAGACTGCGGTAATTTACTTGGGTTTGGTTTACAAAAATTATTTTTCAGCGATCACTAGA